GAATCAGAAGCTGGATCCCTTTTTGTGGATGATTTTAATTAGTCTTGCCGTGGGTCAAGTGGATGGGGGATTTGTTTGTTCAGACTCAATTATGTACATACTCTCGTCAGGTTGGAATATTGTTGGGGGCGATGTTAAACAACAATCGAGTGAGTGTGGTTTTACGCCGCTTTTAGCAATAAATATTCCAGCGACAGAAAGTCAGCTTGACCTCACAACTGGACAACTCGATTATCTTCTTTATCTATATGATTGTGACTGGGGTCCTTCCTTGACAGGTTTTTAGAATTTACCATTAATTACTATGTATAACAATTAATTGTTCTCGTCACGATATGGCTGAAATATTGCCGATGTGACAATACATTTTAACTCACTCACTCATTGTTACTGGGAACATATCATGCCACACAATGGCTACGGGGTACATGCAATGAGATAAGATTCTTGATGTCCTGAGAACTTGTACAGAGAAAGCTAAAACAAGAGGATGCACATCCTCTGAACACATCCACTGTTTGCATCAGGGCATGGTAAGAGCAATTTAAAGAGGAGAGTAAACATCACCATCCGGAACATTCTAAGAACGTTGCTAAATTTGACGTGAAGGAATAAAGAGTAACCTCCCTTTGACGTTTATGAATCAGTGGTTACTGCAACAGATTGTGCGATTGCAAACGACTTAAGCAAATAAATACATGACTTATTTTTTTTTAGTTATTATCAATAATGCAGCTGTGATTGGTGTGTTGATAATCGGATTTGGACCCCTCATCCTCAATATCAACAGTTATCTGACCTGTGAAGATCCGGGCTAGAATTGATCTTCAGCAACCCATGCTTGTCGTAAGCGGCGACAAACGGGATCGGGTCACAGTCAGTAATCAATATACGCATGCAGCTGTTTCACATTGTCATGGAAATATTCAATGTGAAACCAATAAAGTGTCGTATTATCAATTGTAGTTTTATAATTCACTGTAAAATATTGCAGATTAATTGCAGTGGCAGTGTAGCTACAAAGCAATTTAAAATATAGCAGTGTGTTAACATCTGTGACGTTCATCGTCATTATTTCAGCCATATGGGGGCGGTGGGGTAGCCTAGTGGTTAAAGCGTACGTTAGTGACACTGAAGACCCGTGTTCGATTCCCCACATGTGTACTGTGTGTGAAGCCCATTTCTGGTGTTCACTAGATGTCTGAATATCTCACTTTTAAACGGGCAGTGCATTTTCATTGTGTATGTACTCAAATTTCTATCGTATTACGCCGATCGATAAGGCTGGATTCATGAAATTCAGTACGGCGAGGAGCTGATGCGGTATGTTATGCAACGTGTGAATTTTGTCGGGTCGTACATAATGGGATATTTAACAACACAGATATTTAGCAGGTATATGGGGGATTGAGAAGTAATTGTAAAATAATTGTCTGGTCCAGACTCGATTATTTACAGACAGCCGTCATATAGCTGGAATATTGTTGAGTACGGCGTAAAACTATATTCACTCAGTCACTCACTCAGATACGATGGATAGTGAGTGAGTGAGTATGGCTTTAGCAATATTCCAGCGATATCACGGCGGGGGACACCAGAAATGAGCTTCACACATTGTAGCCATGTGGTGACGATGGATAGAATGTTACACATGGGCATAACTGAGATCTACTTCTTTATATCTGTATGGGTTTATGGGGCATGATATATAAAATGACTTAATGGATAAATGGTGGATATATTGCAAATTTCTTTAATGACAGCATTATAATTATCCTCAATTAAGGATATATAGATTAAAATGTTTTGGGTTTTTGAATTTTGAATAGAAGGAAATAACATTAAAATACTCAGGTATAAAATAGAATATTTCAGACACAGAATTATACTATACTAGGATAATTACATATTCAAGTGCACGCTCCAAAATCAATTTTTCATTATATAAATAAATATACATTATTTTATATATTTTCATATTAATAATAAATTTCAATCTATATGATAAATGGCACTGTTGTAATTAAGCACTGTAAACATCAAATGGTTTTCATTACATTGCAGTGTCCACATACAGCTTGCCTTCACAATAATCAGATGATAATCATGAAAAGGTTCCTTGCAGTAAACTGAGTTTTGAAATTCTAACACAAATAAATTAATAAGTCAATATCTTTTCCCTCTTCACGTCAATAGAAATCTGCACTGTACAATGTTGTAATTTTATCTGATATTTTTGTATGATCGTGCGAGTGTACTTTAATAATACATTACACATGCAAGACTTTATTCAGTCATTGTACATAAGTATTATCTGTTAAATTTGTAAAAATATAAATAAATGCATAGACATATATACATGGAATGATTGTGTGGTTAAATTCGAATTTATGTCATCAAAAACATATCTGATTTTAAACACATTTTCAATGTTAATTCCTAACAAACAGACATAATGATAAAGTTTTCTTTGAGAACTGTTGAATGAAAATATAAAGCTATCGGTTGGTAATATATTGTCTGTCATATGAAATATTTTGTCAACATAATAATACCAAAACAAGAAGAAGGCATTAAACAACGCACCAACCGTGAACCACGTGCACCAAACCACCCCGGTTGCGTTTGGTCGATGCGTTACATTTTCAAAACGTTTTTGTAACTAAAGCACTGATTTTGACAATACAGTTTTCCTTTATTTGTTTTTAGCGAAGATGTCAACGGATTGTACACTTACATTCTCACGGGATTTCTAATGACCTCGTCCCTGTGATGAATAGGTGTTCATGGTACAATCACAGCGTGTCATTATCTTTAATGTGGTGCGACGTCATGTGACCCCCTACCAATAAAGTATGTCATCGTATTTCTGCCATCCCACACTACACCTGACCATGGACAGATAGGCCTACAACATTCCAGTGAGGTTAGGTCACTGCCTGGCTTATTTACTCACTGTTACAACACACAGAGTGAGTAAGTTTAGTTTTACGTAGCACGCAGCAACATTCCAGCTATATGTAAATAATCGAATCTGGACCAGACAATGCAGTGATCAACATCATGAACATCGATCTGCGTAATTGGGAACCGATGACATGTGTTAACCAAACCTGACCACCCGATCCCGTTAGTCGCCTCTTACGACAAGCACGGTTTACTGAAAATCAATATTCTAACCCGGACCTTCACGGGTATTTACTTGAAGCACTCACCATATGTGAAATGAATTTCTCCACTAACTTAGGGGAACAGACTGCAAACCTTACACAGGTGAATTGCACGAGGATAATGCATGTAATTGCTGAAAAGCATGTGAAAATATCGTGAATGTGAACAGCTGCCTTTTGGTGTAAAGTTTTGTTAAGATCACTGAGTTTCAGCATTCATTGTAGTCATGACAATACTCTTACGGATTTGTTTTACAATACATCAGTTCATGTGTAAACAGTATCTTTAAACAGTAAGACATATTTTGCAAAATCTAGTTAAGGACAGCTGACTGAAGTATATGGCTACATTTACACTAGTGAGTCTAAGCTGTTGATGGGTATAGCACATTAGTTAGCCTCCCTTGAAGCATCAGTCAATCACTCCAATGGCTACTTAATCGTCACAGCATTATATTGTATTACATTACGTTATACTTAATATATTATTGTGTGTAGTGTGTGTCTGTGTGTGTGCGCGGGCCACTGGCACAAAATACATTCATAGATGTATATTTTGCATGAAGTTACATGCGTTTCACAGCACTTTTATATTTTCCCAACATTATATAAAAATAGGCATTAAATATTTATAACATTTATTTTTGTTGAAGACATTATGTTGACAAAACTGTGTTGTGATAGAGGATGTTTCACATATTTATCCAGAAACTTATATTTTATACCCAGGTAGGCTTTACAATAAAGTGAAACATGTATTTCATCTTCAATTAAATTAAGATTTTTTTATATTTTTTATTTATTTATTTTTTTTGCAAAAAGGACCAAATCTTGAATCATAAGGGACGTTGTTATACCAGTCTCAGAACTAAGTTTAAAATTACCACATCTTAATTTTGTCAAACAATTTCTGAAATATGGGGCAGTTTCGAACCTGAGATAGGTTACAGCATTTAGGAGGGACTTGAAAAGTATATAATTAGCTTGGTTGTATTATATAGGGATGAGTACCAGTCTTGTGAACGATTACCAGACAATTTCTGCTTAAAACAGAAATGGAACCATCAATATCTCCCAATATCCTGAGAAATCCAAGCCAAACCTAAACAAATAAAATATAATATTGTTGATATGAGATGCCCATGTCGTGCGTCCAGATTTAATCCAAAGACGTTAACATTAAATAATAACTGATGAGGTGACCTATAACTTTGAACAGCTAAACGTTTACACCAATATTTAACTGCCCTTGACACATCGGTAAGTTAACGTTGAAGAAGGAATCTGCCACATTCACCAAGAACCTTATTGTTACAATTTGAAATATTTTTGCCAACTTTTAAGAAATATTTACATATTTATATCTGGATTTGTTCAATGATTTTTGACACCCAAATTTCTGAACCGCAACAAAGAATAGGTTTAACCATAGCATTATATATTCGATACATGACAAACCTACTCGTTTTGGTATATATAGATAGTCATAAGGGTTTTATTGGCTTGAGAAGCAAGAGTAGTCTGACCTTTAGTCCATACTAGCCTTGGAGTGAACATAATATTCTTGATAGAACAGACGACAAACTGTACACATATCAACAATGCGTTTATTTGTGTAGATGAATTTAAATTATTGGTGGACTATTGCACCAAAACCATTCGATCTACGTCAAGCATCACTCACACCGAACCTTCAACTGACAAGTTAGATAGTAAAGGCCGAAGACCTCAGAAAAACCATACCCCGATGTTCAGCTTCCAATATACTCAGTCTTTCCAAAAATGATTTCGCACTTTCTTCCACGGTGATCTGTGCACTGGGTCCTCCCATTTCAGTCTTCACCCACCCAGGGACACATTGCCACCACGAGGATACCATCAGGAAACAGTTCCCGGGACATCATGGCAGAAGCAATGGCACTGGCCGATTTGGTCAGTACGTAGGAATATCGACGTTCTTTTTGTCCCCAGTTCTTTGATTTGATGAGGCCAGTAGAGAGGTTGACAATGGCTGCCCTGTTACATCCGGGAGGTTTACTTTCGTTTTGTTTGGATGCTTTTCTTAGTAAAGGAAGCAGCGCTTGTGATACGAGGAGCGGACCTTAAAAAAAAAAAAACGGAGTGATAAAGTATAGAACATCAGTGCAAAGAATAGCTCCGTTTGGAGTAAAGGAAAAATGGCTGTGGAGATTACCTGAATGGATCACCGAAAATCAGTCATTGCAACATGTGTGTGGCATGAACGTTTTCGATGATTAATGGAAACAATATTGTATTTGTTTGTTTATTGTATAACGATCAACAGTTTTCCATGTATATAACGCAGCATCTCAGCTATATTGTGGGATAAAGTATAGAACATCAGTGCAAAAGAATTCCAGCTTTAAGTAGCTCAGACACGAATTCCCTTTAGTGTCATTTGGATCACAGAAAAACAGTGATAGCACCAAATGTGTGCGAAAAAGCATCAAAGTTTTTCGTGATTCCTTGAAAAGAATGTTGAATGTTATATTTGTTGTTTAACGCCTCGCCATTCGGTGGTTTGTAAGTATATTGGTCGGGACCGAACACTCGTGTGATTGATATCACGTGCATTGACCTAAGCAATTGGGATACGATGACAAGCATTATCAAAGTCACCCAATCCCGTTGATGCATGTTTTAACCACTGTTTAAGATCGTTTCTCAAACAGTAATACATGAGGGTTTGCGAGCTACATAGTTGCCAAGCGAAACCATAAACATAGGGGCTAACGTTTACCGAGTTTGCATGAAAATTTGAATAAAAACGGTTGTTAAATATTAAGATGTCTGTTTAAACATCATTCTGTCCTAGTTAAACAGTAAACTGTTGCAAAGTAATTTTGTGTAAAAACATATATTGGTTCCTTGGATAGGAATTAAATTAGCACAATAAAAGCTCTTCTTGAAATGTTGTTGAATTGTGGAAAAAAGACATACATATTGATTTTTGAGAGATAGGACGCTAATACACCCATGAGTTGTTGTATATCATGCAAGTTCTTTTCATTAATTATACCTCAAAAATAAAATCATCTTTAAACATTTTTCAGAACTGACAAAGCATTCGAAGATCATACTGCTAACTTAAGATATTTTTGTCTTCAGTATATACACAGATACATATCCATTAACTTCTGCCTACCTAACTTCATTTAAGTGAAATATCTATCGGCATATAGAGGATATTATATGAGTGCCCATGTCATACTATGTTTACGACACGAGTGCCTAAATGTTGGTGTTTCCGGAGCGAGAGCGAGGGGTATACCGATATTTAGGCAAGAGTGTCGTAAACAGAAGAAACGCGACGTCATAGCATTGTTCGTGACGTCACGTCGCCATGACAAAGTGATATTTTGCCCTAGGGCATCGTATGAAAAATATGAACCCCGATATGTTTGCCCTCGTAGGTAATAAAAAGTTAAATGCACACTTGGCAATGGTTATCTGTCCGTCCTACCAAGTTATAAAGCCATTCCGAAATGATTCTTTTACTTCAAATTCGACTAGTTTTGGGGTATTTCAACTTACTGTCAATATTGTTCATTCGGACACAGGTATGTGTAAAATTATAAATTCAAAAATAATTCTTATTGCACATTTTTATTTTTTTGCTCGTGGATATTTGGTTGTTGCAAATAAACGACATCATATGAACGCTTACTAAATATACGTCATCCATGTTTATGACGGCAAGAAATTTGAACGTCAAGTCCGTAAAATGGAGCTGGACCGTCGATCACACTCAACGTTTAAGTTGTTCAGTGTATTAATATTGCTATGAGAGTATATTTTCTGTAAGTTGTAATATCACATTGATTAACTGATAGTTATTATGGGTCACAAAGTTTAATGTTTTGGGTGTGGGTTTTGGTTCGCATATCGCATCATATATCTTCAATGGCAATAGTATTTTAGCGGCATGCCTTTTGAGAGAGCGCTTTGGAATTACCTGCCCTTGGCTGCCTTGTTTATTTCTTTTGACTTACGGCTCTCGTGATGTCTTGTGTTTTCGATGGCATCCTTTAACGTTCTGAGAGGATAGTGAAGTAGCCTAACTTTGCCAGAATGCCTGCGAATTGTGTAAAAGCCATATACACGATGATTGTTGAGTTGTGCGACGGGTATAACACATGACTTAGAAAACTTAGGATTTATACACATCTGTCTGCCATCATCAAGTTTATCAACGTTTCAAGACAATCCTTGCTTGTCCATTTCACTCTTGTCATTGTCATTCACTATCTTACTTTTGAGCATCTTGAAGTAATTATCAAATCCCAAGCTGGCATTGTCAGATGTGCCTGTGCATATCGACCGCCAATTTCAAAACAAAACAAAGTGCAGCTATTGACATTCTATGATGAGTTTGAAAACTTTCTGCATATGTTCAATAATTTACCAGGAAAGCTTACCGTTTTTGGAGACATTAACTTTCACTTCGAGGACAAGAGCAATGCAAACACAAACAAACTTGTCAACATTTTGAACTCTCTGAATCTGGAACAACTTGTGAGTATACCAACACATAAACACGGACATATCTTAGATTTGGTTATATCAAGAAACAATGAAGATACTATTGAAGTTCTCAACATTGAAGATCTTCAAATGTCTGACCATTTTCCAATGTTTTGCTGCATTACTGCACAGTTTGAAAAATGTAAACCCAAAAAACAGTGCTACAGAAATATAAAAAAGCTAGACCGCGAACATTTCGAATGTGATGTTCTAGACACGGCCCTGAAATCTATTGATCTTGAAGATTTGGAGACATCTGCAGACATGTACAACACTGTGCTACGCAATCTTTCGGATAAACACGCACCTATTCGTGACACACATTGCTGGTAAACTTCCATCTCCCTGGTATAATGAAGACAATAAGCAAGAGAAAATCAGCGACGTAAACTAGAAAAATGTTAGAGGAAATCAAAACTTGAAATTTACCGCCAGATTTACACAACACAAAAGAATAGAGTTATAACTGTATGATCCGCACAGCAAAGGTGGCTTTCTACAACGAGGAGAACTTACACACCGACACTGATTCTAAAAAGTTGTTTAGAATATCCTAAAATCTCATGAACAAACCTAAATCTCAAATTCTACCAAATTGTGCAACGGATGCCGACATGGCAGCTATTTATGGGAGACATTTTAAGGAAAAGGTGGATAACATTCGTCTGAATCTTGAGAAGGAAAGTACTCAAGAAAACACATTGTTTGGCCAGAAAGACCAAGATGCAATTGTTATACCTTTATCTGAACTGTACATGTTCTCTGACAATGAAATTCTAGATGTCATAAAAGCTATGCCTGCCAAAACCTGTGTTCTGGATCCAATACCGACTGCTCTTGTTAAAGAGTATACGGATGTTCTCCTCCCAACCATCACTCACATTGTGAACAAGTCCTTCAAAGAGGGTACAGTTCCTACAGCATTCAAACAATAAAAATGAACTAAAGAACTATAGGCCTGTTTCGAACCTGTCATTCATATCAAAGGTTCTTGAAAAATGTGTCTCTCTGAGGCTACAACAACATCTAAAGAACAACAGTTTATATGAAAAATTCCAGTCTGCCTACAGATGTGGGCTCAGCACGGAGACGGCTTTGATCCGAGTTATGAATGACATCGTAACTGCTGTTGATGAAGGCAAGGTGGTAATCTTGGTGTTACTAGATCTTGACACCTTTGACACCGTGGATCATAACATTCTCTTAGGAATCCTTAAACACGACCTTGGCATTACAGAGATTGCACTTGCATGGTTCAAATCCTATCTAGCCGACCGAGTGGTTGTAAACAGCTCAACATCAGACTCATGTGATCTTAACTGTGGAGTTCCACAAGGTTCTATATTATGTCCTATCTTGTTTACTCTGTACACTCGATCGCTCAGCAAGATTGCAGACAAGCATGGTCTACAGCAACATCAGTATGCTGATGATAATCAGATATATATCGGATTCAGGACTGGGAATGCAGATACAAGTGTGATCAAGGTTGAACAATGCTGCAGTGACATCAAGCAATGGATGCTGTGTCATCTACTAAAGCTCAATCAGCACAACACAGAGTTCATGGTAATAGGCACAAAAAAACATCTACAACAGTGCAACGGTATTTCCCAGCTTGTCATTGGAGATTCTGTCATCACCCCATCAGCAAAAATTGAAGATTTTGGGTGTACTGTTTGACCAACAGCTGAGTATGAATCACCATGTTACTCGTGTGTGCCAGACTACAAACTATCATCTCAGAAAGATCGGTAAGATCCGCCCATACCTCACCAGACCTGCTGCACAAAACTGACTGTTTCCCTAATTTTATCCAGATTGGACTATTGTAATTGTCTACATGTCAATACCACTAAAGAACAAATCAAAAGACTTCAAACCCTTTAGAACAATGCTGCCAGAATCACATCCAAGTTTGACCACATTTCCCCAGTACTCAAAGAGCTCCATTGGTTGCCAGTTTCTTTCCGCATTGACTATAAGATACCTTTGTATGCGGACAAGTGTTTTCACAAAATTGCTCCACCGTACCTCACTGAACTACTCAACGCCTATCGTCCTCCGAGACCTCTCAGATCACGAAAGCAAAAACCTTTTCACCATTCCAAAAATTCAGACCTCAACTTTTGGCAAGAGAACATTCAAATATGCAGCTGCAGACAAATGGAACTGTCTACCCGAAAATCTTAAATCTGCATCTTCACTTGAATCTTTCAAGTCACAATTAAAGACTGTTCTCTTCTCCCAGGCTTTCCCTTGCTAAGCGCACAGAGCATAGGGCTGTGAATGGTGCGCTATATAAATTCATGAATTATTATAGTCAACAACATTCAATCAGTATATATCTTCTCACTATGAATGTCAACACGCTGGTGAGTTAATATTTGAGATTTATGACCCAATATTTTAGATTTGTGACTCAATTGCATTGTACTAGAAATCAGTATTATCATTCATTGTACCTTGCTCATTGTTTGTTCAATATATTATTGAATATTTTAGACTTGTCTGTGTTCTATTTTGCTGGTTCAAAGGGGACTCTTAAACCTTTTGCCACGGCAAATTATCAACGGATACAATAATAAAAATACGACACTTACCTGCTACATTACAATCACAGTGACTCATGATCTCCTCCCTTGTCAATGCCTCCAGTCCATACAACTGTGAGTTGATGGCAGCGTTGTTAATAAGTAAGTTTAACCCTCTCTCTCCCAGGACACGTTGTACTGTTGTTACGGCGTTGGCGATGTCGGCGTCAGATCGCACATCCAGCTTCATCAACGTAACACTGGGGTTTTGTGAGGTCACTTCTCTCAACTCCGTGGCCTCGTCGTTGTCAGGGTCAATGCAAGACGCAAACACGTGCTTGGGTGGGTTGGGAAGTTCCAGGAAGGCTTTCACAAGACCAAGACCCACCCCTTTGCTGCTCCCAGTGATGAAGACAGATTCTACCGATCTGCAAGGTTTGTGTTTTCTGGTGAGTTTCTCCTCATTTAATTGCTTCATTTCAATATGACGGAAATCAAGAATTAACCTTATGCTATTGAACAACGGGCGCTTAGTCCGTTTTCTTTTTTCTTTTCTTTTTCTTTGAACCAGATCTCCACAGGTTTCTCTTTAAAGTCTTTGGAACAGATCACTTGCAATTCAAGTGAAGAGGCGAATTTAGTTTTACGACACTTTTAGCAATATTCCAGCAATATCACGGCGGCGAACATCAGAAATGGGCTTTACACATTGTACCCATGTGTGGAATCGAACCCGGGTCTTCGGCGTGACGCCTTAACCACTAGGCTACTCCACCGCTAGACTCACAACTCAAATACGGAATTATGTTAACATGTATTTTGTATTTACCTCGAACTCAAATGGGGTTGATATGGAAACGTAGTTCATTTTGCATACGGAAAGTCACGCGAGCGTTAACTTGGACCGGTTTTTGACGATGTCTGATAAAATGTGTACTTACAGTGTTGACATGACTCTCCACACTTCTGACTGTTATCCACATACACAGAACATGTAGGTCGATATGGCGTGAGATAAATGACCATGAATGTAGTCGTCTCCTGAACATCACGTGGCTGTGATTATCTACACTATGCTGATAATAATAATACCGAAAGTAACACACATGTCAGTAATTTCTCCAGATTCACGGTGGGTATTTGCGCCTTGTTTGTATAAAAGACAGTTGTATCAGTTTGACCTTTCAGATTGAAATCTTTCTCGGCATAGGACCCCAACGGATGACGCTTGTATACACTGGCATTGATATCTGAGAAACCTACCAATTTCATGATGAAGCTTACTGTGTAATGCATCAGATATATCAAACTTTTATCGATCAGGATCCATTCAGCATTCGACAGGAGGTCAATTATTGGCTTATAGTCCGTTTGGCTCAAAAGCTGACCGATGAATTGTAATCTCACTCGAAAACTAACAAACATATAATACCTAATGAAACGCTAATCATATTTAAAACATCAGACCAACTCTGTGAGGGTTTGTTTTGCAGAATTTATGTCCTAAAAATAAAAATAAAAATAAAAAGTTGTTTAACAAACTATCATTAAAATAATGACACAGTTCACTATTTGGCACGAGGGAGGAGTGCAAAGGGAGGAACAGCCTTCTGATACGAGGAGCAGACCTTAAAATAGATACTTAGTGATAAAGTATAGACCGTCAGTGCAAGTGAGTCTTAAATATGATCAGAAATAAATTCCCTTTCGCGTCGAGGGAAAAATAACTGTGAAAATATTAATGGATTACTGAAAATGATCTAAGCACTTAGGAAATCATAATTAACATACGTAGCTTTAATAAGATCACGTTGCAGAGGGGGTCAGAATTTAATCTCAAGAACTATTCACTAGAAAGTAATCTCCAGATCTCCTTTCAACACAGTTGTGTGTGGTGTCGCATTGCCATGTTGGAATTGGGGGCATGTACCATAAGCAGCCATGAATGGCACCAGCTCCGGGACAAGGACAAAGCCCCGATTTCTCGAAATAAACTTAAGTTTTTACTCAAATTTCAAACTGAGTTGGACAATTTGAAACAGCTGAATTTTTAACTCAACTGCATTTTTGAAATAAAAAAGCCCAAACAACTTAAGTAATCTATCCACCAAACTCAAATTGTCCACTATGTTTGATTTTAGTATCGATTTTAGTTCATTGTGGGAAATGCATTTTCTCAAATTTGAGTAAAAACTCAAACTTAAGTTGAAACTCAGACTTAAGTTTGTTTCGAGAAATCGGGGCCTGGTCTCGATAATCTGCTGCATCGGAATTCCCACGAATTCCAAGAAGACGTGAGCGCACGGTCCACATGAAAGATTCCCAAACCATTATGCTACCGACACGGAATAGATCAACTTCCCGTATGCAGCACTGGGCGTGACGTTCATTGCTCCTGAGCCACGCAAATTGTTGCGTAAAACGTGAATCGTCGCTAAACACAACCTATACCATTGTCTTTGTTTCCACCACAAGAGCAAGTGTGCCCAGCGTATACAATCATCACATCTGAATTTGATTGTCCTTGGCATGTGACGTCACATTTGGCCGTCCTGAACTGGGACGATCAGATATCGCACACGCTTGATGCACACGTGTCCTCAGGTTGTGAATTGTACGTCTACTGCATCTCATGGCACCTCCAACAGCCACAGTAGCCTGGCCAACATGGAGCATGCCAATTGTTAATGTGTTTAACAAATTCACCAAATTCTGGACACATGTTGGTGGTCAGGTCATCATATTTGAAATGGGATCATTCGCCCATATTAACTTTTTTGTAAGACCAAATGTCAGTATGATTCATTTATTTCTCCAAATGTGAAGTTTCTATTTTTGTTCAGTATGGTATACTCACAGTGTATGTGTGTCTGCCTGTCTGTGTTGGTGTAGCTCACAAATCATCACACACACACACGCGCGGTTCTTTCATGAACAGACAATAGTCTGCAGAAACGTCACTAATGCGTGTATTTTTTTAGTTGAAATTCAATTATTTGCTGGGGTTTTGCAAGAAAAATATTGAATCTACTTCGAGCATCACTCAAAAGTGACAAATTAAATAGTAAAAGCCGAAGACCCCAGAGAAACCATACCACGATGTTCAGCTTCCAATATACTCAGTCTTTCCAAAAGTGATTTGGCACTTTCTTCCACGGTGATCTGTGCGCTGGGTCCCCCCATTTCAGTCTTCACCCACCCAGGACACATTCCCACCACGAGGATTCCATCAGGAAACAGTTCCCGGGACATCATGGCAGAAGCAATGGCGCTGGCTGATTTGGTCAGTATGTAGGAATATCGACGTTCTTCTGGTCCCCAGTCCTCAGATCTGATTAGGCCAGTAGAGAGGTTGACAATGGCTGCCCTGTTACATCCGAGAGATTTACTTTCGTTTTGTTTGGATGCTTTTCTTAGTAAAGGAAGCAGCGCTTGTGATATGAGGAGCGGACCTTAAAATAAATACATAAAGTACAGAACGTCAGGGCAAAAGAATATCCAGTCTTAAGTAGCTCAAACACGAATTCCCTTTACAGTCATTTGGATCACAGAAAAGCAGTGAAAGAGCCAAGTGTGTGATAAAGCATCACAGTTTTTTGTGATTCCTTGAAAAGAATATTGAATTTTATGTTTGTTGTTTAACTCCTCGCCATTTATATAACGGTCCTTTGTAAGTAATTGAGTCGGAACCAAACAATCGAGTGATTGATATCACGTGCATCGATCTAACCATTGGAATATGATGACAAGCATTATAAAAGTCAGCGAGTATGGCCACCCAATCCCGTCGATGCATGTTTTAACCACTGTTAAAGATCGTTTCTCAAACTGTTATACAGTAGGGTTGGCGAGTTACACAGAAGCCAAGCGAAGCCATAATCATACGGGCTAACGTTTACCGAGTGTGCATGACAACTTAAATAAATACGTATACGCTTGTTAAAAGTTATTATATCTGTTTAACCATCATTCTCTCCTCCTACAACCAGTAAACTGTTGCAAGGTAATTTTGTGTAAAAACATATATCGGTTCATTGGGTAAGAATTAAATAGGCACTGGAAAACTTCTGCTTGACATGTTGTAGAATTGTGAAAAAAAGACATACATATTGATTAAAGAGAGATAGGACGCTAATACACCCATGATTTGTTGTATATTATGCTAGTTCGTTTTCGTTTAAATCTTAAAAACTGACATAATCTATAAGCATTTTTTCAGAACTAAGCTTTCGAAGATTTCTTTTGATATCATACTGCCAACTTAAGATATTTTCAGTTGAAATTAAAACATATGATAAAATCCACGGAGAAGTGATTTTTTTGTCTTCAGTATATACACAGATGCATATCCTTAAACTTCTGCCTACTTAAGTTCATTTACATGAAATATCTATCGGCATAGTTTTTATGCAAACCTGGCAATGGTTATCTGTCCGTCCTACCAAGTTATATATAAGCCATTCCAAAATGGTCCTTTTACTTTATATTCAACTGGTTTTGGGTATTTCAGCTTAACTGTCAATATTGTCCATTCGTGCACAGATAATTTATCATGTGTAAAATTATTCACAAATAATTCTAATAGCACATTATTATTATTATTATTATTATTATTATTACTATTTTACGGATAGTTGGTTGTTGCAAAAAAAATACTTGACATCATATGAACGCTTACTAAAGTTACGTCAGCCATGTTTATGACCGCATGGATATTTTGGCAAGTAATTACGTCACGACCGGTAAATGGAGCGAGACCGTCCTCACAGTCCTCTTTGTAGTTGTACACTACTTTGATATTAAAAATACGACACTTACCTGCTACATTACAATCACAGTGACTCATGATCTCCTCCCTTGTCAATGCCTCCAGTCCATACACCTGTGAGTTGATGGCAGCGTTGTTAATAAGTAAGTTTAACCCTCTCTCTCCCAGGACACGTTGCACTATCGTTACGGCGTTGGCGATGTCAGCGTCAGATCGCACATCCAGCTTGACCAACGTAACACTGGGATTTTGTGAGGTCACTTCTCTCAGCTCCGTGGCCTCGTCGTTGTCAGGGTCAATGCAAGACGCAAACATGTGCTTGGGTGGGTTGGGAAGATCCAGGAAGGCTTTCACAAGACCAAGACCCACCCTTTACTGCTCCCAGTGATGAAGACAGATTCTACCGATCTGCAAGATTTGTGCTTTCTGGTGAGCTTCTCTGCATTTCACTTCTGAGTTTCATTTCATCAGGACGGAAATCAAGAATCTACATTATGCTATTTAACAACGGACGATTTGTAACTTCTTTTTTTTTTAACCGGACCTGCATAGGTGTCTCTTAAAGTCTTTGGAACAGATCACTTACAATTCAAGTGAAGGAGTGAGTTTAGGTTTTATGACGCTTTTAGCAATATTCCATCAATATCACGGCGGAGAACACCACAAATGGGCTTCACAGATTGTAACCATATGAAGAATCGAACCCGGGTCTTCCTTGTGACGCATTAACCAGACTACCTCACCCCCAGAATCACAACTCAAGTACGGAATTATATTAACATGTATTTTTATTTACCTTAAATGCAAATGAGGTAGCTATGGAAACGAAGTGTATTTTGCATTCGGAAAGTCACCCAAGTGTTACCTTGGAACAGTTTTGGCGATGTCTGATCAAATGTGTACTTACAGTGTTGCCATGACTCTCCATACATCTGACTGATATCCACATACACAGAACATGTAGGTCGATATGGCGTGAGATAAATGACCATGAATGTAGTCGTCTCCTGAACAGCCCGTGGCTGTGATTATCTACACTAATGCTAATAAAATACCTGATAAACACACACACACATATTTGCACCTTGTTTGTAAGCACAGACAGTTGTATCAGTTTGACCTTTCAGATATAAAATTTCTTTATCGGCATAGTGTCCCAGCGGATGACGTTTGTATCCATTGGCTTTATCTTTCCGAAAAACCTCCCCATTTTATGATTAAGTGTACTGTGTTATGCCTCAGCCATGTCATACTTTTTTATTTGCCAGGGACCCGTGAAGGTCGGGTTAGAATATTGGCCTTCAGTAACCCATGCTTGTCGTAAGAGGCGACTAACGGGATCGGGTGGTCCGGCTCGCTGACTTGGTTGACACATGCCATCGGTTCCCAATTGTGCAGATCGATGCTCATGATGTTGATCACTGGATTGGATTGTCTGGTTCAGATTCGATTATTTACAGGCCGCCGCCATATAGCTGGAATATTGCTGAGTGCGGCGTAAAACAAAGCTCACTCACTCAAATTATTTGTCAGGATCCATTCAGCCTTTGAAAGGAGGACAATGATTAGCATAGTGTAGATAATCACTGTCACATGCTATTCAGTCGACGACTACATTCATGGTCATGTATCCCACGCCATATCGACCTACATGTCCGGTGTATGTGGATTACAGTCAGATGTGTGGAGAGTCATGTCAACACTGTAAGTACACATTTGATCAGACATCACTAAAAACCTGTCAAAGATAACACATGAGTGACTTTCTGAATGGCAAAGAAACTACGTTTCTATAGCTGCCCCATTTTAATTTGATGTCAATACAAAATGCATGTTAAGATAATTCCGTACATGAATTGTACATAACATGTCTCAAGGAGATTAAGGGAAACCTACTGGGAAGTGGTTTGAAGAATTTGACACTGATAGTAACAGTTCGTTGTAGAATGACACAATCTAGATTGTTGTTTCCTGTCTTGATGAAATAAAACATTTAAATGAGAAGAAACTCACCAGAAAACACAAATCTTGCAGATCGGTAGAATCTGTCTTCATCACTGGGAGCAGCAAAGGGGTTGGTCTTGGTCTTGTGAAAGCCTTCCTGGAACTTCCCAACCCACCCAAGCACATGTTTGCGTCTTGCATTGACCCTGACAACGACGAGGCCACGGAGTTGAGAGAAGTAACCTCACAAAATCCCAGTGTTACGTTGATCAAGCTGGATGTGCGATCTGACGCTGACATCGCCAACGCCGTAACAACAGTGCAACGTGTCCTGGGAGAGAGAGGGTTAAACTTACTTATTAACAACGCTGCCATCAACTCACAGTTGTATGGACTGGAGGCATTGACAAGGGAGGAGATCATGAGTCACTGTGATTGTAATGTAGCAGGTAAATGTCGTATTTTTAATATAAATATACTGAACAACTTGCAAGTTGACTGTGAGCCACGGGCTGACTCAATTTTCCGGTCTTGTCCGGAAATAAACACATTTACTTGCCTAATATCCATGCCATCATAAATATGAATTCACAACAATGGAAACCTGTGGCAACTAATCTGAAGGTGATCATGCCACATTCCCCAAAGACGTTGCGCAGTGTTCATTATGTCAATCACTGGTTTGGCGAATACTTACCGGGCCGGTGGGGTAGCCTAGTGGTTAAAGCATTAGCTCGTCTCACCGAAGACCCGGGTTCGATTCCCCACATGGGTACAAAGTGTGAAGCCCATTTCTGGTGTCCCCCGCCGTGATATTGCTAGAATATTGCTGAAAGCGGCGTAAAATCATACCCACTCACTCACTCACAATGTCAAATGTTACATTGTTCTTCACATTGATCTCATGAAAACATACATATGTATACATATATGCACCAGTTCACTACCAGACCTATATATGTGCCAAGGTTGTTGAAAAAACGTTGAACGGTTTTAAGGTTCTGCTCCGGAAAAAGACGGATTTGCACAGACGGACGCATCCATGGAGTCCAAAATAATACCAACGAGATAACAACGGGGCTGTTTAATTTGGTTGATGCATGTAATCGTATCCCATTTGCGTAAATCGATGCTCGTGTAATCAAGTACTGGGTTGTTTTGTCCCGACTCGATTATTTACAATCCACCGTTATATAAATGGAAAACTGTTATACAATAAACAAACAAATACAATATTGTTTCCATTAATCATCGAAAACGTTCATGCCACACACATGCTGCAATCACTGATTTTCGGTGATCCATTCAGGTAATCTCCACAGCTATTTTCCCTTTACTCCAAACGGAGCTATTCTTTTACAATTAAGTTCTATACTTTATCACTCCGGGTTTGTTTGTTTTTTTAAGGTCCGCTCCTCGTATCACAAGCGCTGCTTCCTTTACTAAGAAAAGCATCCAAACAAAACGAAAGTAAACCTCTCGGATGTAACAGGGCAGCCATTGTCAACCTCTCTACTGGCCTCATCAAATCAACGTACTGGTTACCAGATGAACGTCGATATTCCTACATACTGACCAAATCAGCCAGCGCCATTGCTACTGTCATGATGTCCCGGGAACTGTTTCCTGATGGTATCCTCGTGGTGGGGATGAGCCCTGGGTGGGTGAAGACTGAAATGGGGGGACCCAGCGCACAGATCACCGTGGAAGAAAGCGCTAAATCATTTTTGGAAAGACTGGGTATATTGGAAGCTGAACATCGTGGTATGATTTTTTTCAAATCTTCAGCCGTTACCATTTAATTTGTCAGTTGTGGGTTTGGTGTGAGTGATGCTTGAAGTAGATCGAATGTTTTTGATGCAATACTCTATCAAATAAATTGACTCTACTTCACAAATAAAAACATCGTCATCGTTTCTCTGGACTATTTTTGTTCATCCAAAAACACAGGGGCATGTGCGTGTGGTTATTCGTGACACCGCACAGGCAAACACAGAGAGAGAGAGAGGGAGGAGGGATGGGGTGGGGGTGCGTGGTGTGGTAACCGCGATCACCTTGCGTCAGCCCCATCGAACACTTGTGGGTTGCACTCGGAAGAAGTCTACAAGCCCTGAGATAGCACCCAGCTATGTTGTTAATAATATAAGTTTAATATACAGTTGATATGGAGGAATACTAAAATGGCCAGATCTAACCTGACGCTTTCGCCCATTTCAAATGAGGGGAACCACGCGGGATGCATGCACCACGCGCTATTGTTTTACGGGTCGCGTTACTGCCGGAATATGAAACCGTGCGCTGCCAATGTTCATTTCTCACGTCCTTAAGTTGGGCGGATTCGGACACAGGTAAACCATATTGAGCGTCTACGCTAGGCACAATTACATCTGTTCAGGAAGCAGAGAAAACGGGATAGGGTTGTGTTTAGTGACCAATCACGTTTTATGCTGCGATTTGCCGACGGAAGAGAATGAGCGTTGCATACAGGAAGTAGAACGGTTTCATGTTGGTAGCACAATGGTTTAAGGAGCTTTCTCCGGAGAAGGGTGCTCACGTTTTCTCATAATGCATGGGAACCTCAGCAGGATATCGTGACCAGGTCCTTGTCCCAGAGCTGCTGCCATTCATGGCTGCTCGTGGGCCAATTCCAACATGATAACACGACCCTACACAGAGCTGTTTTGAGGGGAATTTCTGCAAATTCTGGGTATTGATGTCATGAAGTGCCCATCGAACACGTGTGGGTGCACTGGGAGGAAGTCTCCGTGCCTTGAGACGTTAACCCCACTATGATGTGGTCTTGCAGTCCTGTCTTAGCATGGTCAAGTTTCGTGTGAGAGCTGGCAGTAATGAGATGACATACTTTGTTGGTAGAGGGACCACATTACAAAGACACACTGTGATTGCACCATGAACACCTGTTCATCACAAGCACATGGGAGAATTGTCAGTGCATAATCCGTTGACACCTTTGGTGAAGAAAAGCTGTGTACTGTCCACTTAACTTGCTCAAAGCCTTCTCTGCCCAAATAACACAAATACAAAACCCACTTTCCTTAATTACAAATAATGTGGAGGCCAGTTAACGGGATTGGGTGTTCAGGCAGGTTCACATCCATAACCCCTACACTCTCATTTCACCTACATCCCAGTTCACCTACACTTAACCAATGCATGTTTTCTCAGTACCCCTACACTTTGCTTTGGTTCTACCCTACTCACAAGTGGACTGACCCAGTTAACAAAAGGGCTTGGCCCATTTTTGAAGGAATGTGGGGCTTGATATAGACAATGAGCATAAGCTTTGATTCTGAGTAACACAATAAGCTAAGCTATCGCTATCATTTTGATATGATTTTTGAATTTGTATTTTTAGCAGCTTTACATTCTTCAACTATTACATTATCATTTGATGTTACAATCCATTTTAATATGTATACACATTATTACAGATATTGTTATGATGCGAAAAATATATACAATGTTAATGACAAATTATACCTTTTAACAGATGCGATTCATTTATAAAATTCTTTTTCCAGGGAGTCCATGTTACAAAGAGTCCATGTTACATGAGAGGGTGTACCCCATCTACAGTGTTTATTTAAGACCCCCATTACCCCTACACATTTGGACCCCCAAAAGTGTAGGCGATTTGAGCGTGAAGGTGTAATGGTGGGACACCGTTCAGGCCTATTCACTTGTGTAATTGTAAGCGGACCTCTTAGACAGAAGGAATGTTGCTGAGTGAAGTTTTAAACACAAAACAACCAATGCAGAACAAGCACTGCATTCAAACTGATGGGGCTGGTTAGATAGCCAAGAGGTGTCACTCTTACGACCCAGGTTCGATTCCCCGCATTTCTACCGCCTCCGTGGTGTAGTGGTTAGAGCGTCCGCCCGGAGAGAGGAAGGTCGCGGGTTCGATTCCCGACCGCGTCATACCAAAAGACGTTAAAATATGGTACTTGTTGGTCCCTGCATTAATGGGTACAACAAGGACTAGTCGGCTCGGAGTCAGTATAATGTGTCTGAGTGGGGTATTCATGCTTCACTGCGGCATGGTATCTCAGTGGGCTGGCACTAAAATAACAGCTTAAGTCTGGGCTAGTACAAGCAGCCGCACATACACATACACACGCATGCACGTCGTCATATGAGCGAACTATTCTCAAGCACGACGTTAAACCCAATTTTACCTCACCCCGCATTTCTAGTACCACTCTGACATTTCCGCTGAAAATAAAACTCATTTGACTACTCGTCTCCGCCAGTACGTGAACATCACGTGATGTAAACATCCTGCTATCATTCGTCAATGATGGTACTTTTAAATGTTTCTTTCAGAAGAAAACTAGTAATCTTAGCGTAGGGGGCAGTCACTTGCAGATGCCCCCGTTTGCTTGTTTACGGGTACTGTGGTAGAGTATGTTACTATCGTCGTTGCCTCAGCCACTAATAAACTCTGCATCTACTGTTGAGTTACAGTCTTGCCACAACCTATTGTTGACAAAGATATGTTCTTCAGATGGGGAGAACTTGACCAATGTCATCCTTGATCAGAGTATTAAGCATTCAGCAAAGTGTTAAACTACCGACAGGGCCCCATCACACACAGCGATCAAAGCACTAAGGTAATCGTAAATAACATACCTTAACGTGTACCTACGACCATCGTAGCTTTAGTGACATCGCGTTGCGGAAGGGGATCAGAATTTAATCTCAAGAACTATTTACTCGGAATTAATCTCCGTTCAAAACATTTGTGTGTGGTGTTGCATTGTCATATTGGAATTGGAGGCATGTACCATGAGCAGCCATTAATATACATATTAATTATAAATTTAAATCTCTATAATAAATGGCACTGTTAAGTTTTGTAAACATCGATTGGTTTACATTTCACTGAAGTGTCTACACACAGCTTGCCTTCCAGGAATCAGATAGTCATCAGAAAGCTCATATTGTAATTTTTAGACCTAACTTTTATGTTTCAATGCCGTAAACTGATTTTCCAAATTCTAACACAAATACATTGATCAAGTCAATATGTTTTCCCTCTTTACATCAATTGATATCTGCACTGTAGACTGCTGTAATTTTATCTCATAGTTTTTGTATGATGGTACATGTGTACTTTTATGTTATATTACACAAGCATGACTTCATCCAGTCATTGAAGTTTTATCTGTTATATGTGAAAAAACATAAATAAATGCATAGACGTATCTGCATGGAAGGATTATGGAGTTAAATTCGAATTTATGTCACACAAAAATATTTGATTTTAAACACATTTTCTATTATTATTATGTTTTACAGATTAAAGATAGTATTCAGCAGAGAGGGTTCGCGTGATCCTGGCACAGTCAGGCTGGTAAGGCTCATCATCAGCTCAGGGCCCTTGCCCCCTCTACACGCAGCCCAGACAGCGAATGGGACTTCTCCCAGGAAACGCTGCCTAGTCGAACCCACCGAGGACTTTCCGAGAATATGAAGGCTCCCCAACACTGCAGCCATCTGCATTACCCAGAGGGTCAGAAGGGCTGTACTGCCGGTGGAGAACCCGGGCACTCTCCTGATCTGCGCCAAGAGATCAGTAGGTACCAAACCCAGGGCACCGAGAACACTTGGGATGCAAGCGAGACATTTCAAAGGCGAGGTCCACATATTTATCATGCTTTTCCTGAATCTTGTCAATCACATTCCTGTCAAAAGGACAGTATTATTATGCGATATTTATATAGCGCACATATCCAGGCAACTAGTCAATCTCAACGGCACATCGTGTTATCAATCTCAACTCTTGCACCGAGTTATTGTGGCTTTCCCACCCTTACGAGGTACCCATTCACAGCTGGGTGGACTGGTACACATAGTCACAGTACTTTGTCCACGTTCACTCCACGTTGCTGTACCCGCAACTAGGTGTTTGCACGTATTCATGTGGCCACCATCTGGTCATATACCAACGGATTCGTGGGTTCTTTTAAGTGCACAGGGTTATGTACTGTACACTAGGGGTTGTGACAACATTGAGAGAGACTGCACACAAAGCTGACTCCAAGGTTTTTACACCCGGTCACAGGTGGGCTAGATCACGACACCTCAACCTCGCTGGATCACTAGCCTGGCGCCTTAGCCAGCTCGCCCACCGCGCCCCATTTTCTATGGCATGGTAATTCCTAACTAACACGCATTAAGCTACAGTTGTCTTTGAGAACTGTTGAATGAAAATCAGAATGAAAAGCTATAGATAGTATATGGTCTGTCATTGTAAATATATGTAACATAATGTTACCAAAACAAGAAAATACAACTGTACATATGTCATGTAATTCTATCATACACATCATCTTGGGTAGTCAGTATGATTTTGTGTTTGTTGAGACAAATTTCTGTAATTTACTATTATTTTAAGAGCTTTAGCTGTTGTTAAACCTTTGTAAGAAATGAATCAATAAATTAAGCCATAGATTATGACTCACAGCACTGACTGATGGGCACATTTCAAAAGGATAAATTATAGTGGGTCATCCCTTTTATTTCAAACTATGATGACTGGAATTTCTGCTGCAATCCACCAACTGCATGGATGATAGGTGTATGGTACATTAAGTACACATAAAAAATATAGTGTTAGAATTTAAAGACAAAATGAAATTAAATGTGAGAGGAACTGCTGATCAAAACGTAATATTTATATTTGTAACCAAATGTTACATTCTACACGGTATTTCTTCTAATGTCAGGGATGTGTTTTAATTACGAATTGCTAATCTAAAAATCACCGCAAAGCATGTGGTAGTTAAAGGTTTTTCATCGTAAACGATCGGTTTTTCAATGAAGGTGCTGCAGAGCAACGCGTGAGCTGGACTCTGTCTTTACATATAGCAAGTTGTTGCACCGCACATTG